GAATTGCATCAGAAAGTTTATCAAAAATACAAAAATACTTATTCTATCTCAAGACAGCAAGTAAACAACTTGTACATATATAAACAAAGTACAAACAGCGCTTACGGTATTCTTTTAAAAATAACAAAAACTTAGAATGACTGTTCAAATATCAAATAAACAGAAGAAACAGCACCAACAACTACAACACCAACACCACCAACAACAACACCATCATAAACACCAATACCAAAATCACCACCAACAACAACAAAGCACCAGTAACCGTTCTGACCTCTTTCCAGACAGACTCATTGCGTTCAATGTCATCAGCCAATGATGCAAACACGTCTGGTGCGACTGTACAAAGACGAATGATGTCCTCCCAGCCTTGATCTGGTATCCATGGGAAGGGCTTTTGACGAGCACTCTTTTCTAGAGCTATGTTGCCTTTGAGGAAGAAGTCAAGTTCTTCTTGTTTCAGGTTGCCATCGGCTTCCATTATCTTRATTGTCATTTGAAAGGAAAACAGCAACTTATCTCGTTCAAATAAACCTGWAAAAAAACATATTAACTAAACAAYTRGAATATTGTAAGGCACTCCTCTGGTAAGCACTTACAAGAACGCAAAACTTAAACTKTTAGCAAATCATATTAGATTCTTTTATTAGACTCCCGMAAACTATGCCATTTTTACTTGATTTTTGTTCATTCTCTTCCCTMKCATTCATTCCCAAATCTATTCGTCCTTGATGTRTTTACCTGTACATGCATAGTTGTACACGTTCACTGTCAAAGTATCCATGATGTTTTTAAGCCTCTTGGGTAGAATGGTGTCTGGTAAACTCTTCCTCAAAGACAAGCCAAATACTTCAAGGTACGAATTCAAAGAGTACTGGTACATCGAGTTAACGACTGACATCTCTGACAACACAAAGAACAATACAGCTCCTAGTTTSGCTGCAGGTCTGTAGCCATCACGAAGCTTATCGATATCAATCGCTGTTTTGGCTCCAAGTTTTAGTTTCTCTGATACCTAAAAACGTATCGAAAACCATCATAAACTATAAGACATCRACCATTTCAACATCTTCTCCAATGCATTAGCAGGTAAGAGTTTATTTTGCGCGTTTTTCCTTTCCTTTCCTTAACATACTTCTACCACTGTTTAATACTGTTTTAACAAGGTTAATAGTTTCTATATCTGTCTCGCATATGGACTCGATTTACCGTTCCGGCTATGTAAATTTGATAGCAGTAACATAAAATGTTTGCCTCTATCGACTAAAAAACTATTAATACCTCTACTGCCTTGGACTTTGTGTCTTCCAGAGTCTGAACAAGTTCCACGTTATCCAACATGTTGCCTTGAGAGGTAGCAAGCTCACGCAGTAAAGTGTCTTCCAAGTCTTTCAGTAAACGCTTGTTATCACTGTCAAGACAGAATGGACGAGAGTAAGATACATGAAGGTGAAAAATAGTGGCTTAAGGTTCCCGACAATCAATTCAAACTTTCTGCTTGTATCAACAACAACAGCAATAACAACAACAACAACAACAACAACAACAACAGCAACAATAACAACAATATTGATAATGATAATCATGATAACAACCACCGCAATAATAACGCCTACAACAATTGAACATCGGCAACCACAGGGACAATGACAACAGAAGAAACACTAGCAATGGTAACCTGAGAAATGAGAAAGCCACAAACAAAACCACATCATCAACACAAACCTTGTCTCTTGTATAAGTCTTTCTCGCTGTTCTTCTAATTCTTTCCTTTCAAAGCCTACAATGACACTAAGTAACTGATCCTCGAGTCCCTTCATCGTGACAGTATAATTGACCACCATACAACGACTAAAGTGAGCTGGAGTGTACTTAGGATTGGACAGCTTRGTGTTTAGATACAGACGGAAACTAGGATCATAATCCACTTCCTTATCTCCAAGCATGACGAACTCACGACCAGGTTCACCTTTAATGTTTTTATCCAAGACATTGTCRATGACAGGATCGATGTATTCATCGACATCTTTAAACAATATCGGGAATCCATACTTAATGGCGAGCTCGAGTTGTTTGAGAAAGTCGTGATCGTTGAACGTAACAACCTGATGAAACAATGAACAAATTAACACTGAAAGAAAGTGAAAAGGAATTAATGGAAGAAAGCCGAAAAGATGGGAGGAAAAGAGGACTTTGGAAGGARGAAAGAAAGTTGTATGGAAGAGGACAGGAAATGTGAAAGGAATGAAGAAACAATACAGTACAAAACAATACCTTTAAATTGTTCTTTTCCTCTTTCTTTTTGACCCAATTGAGAGCCTGTTGCTGGGGGTCTATACACAAGGGATATCTACTGGCCTGKGTTGTCAAGATACCGTTTTCAATTGACAGTTCGTCAGGGGGGAGTCCCTCTGATGTCCATTTACTAATCTCAACATCATTAGTCAACAAACTGTCCAGTTTAAATGGCTGACTAAGCGGTATTTTACGTTCCAGTACGTCTTTTTCCCATTCTCTTCTAAGCATGTCCCCCCTGAAATCCCATGTRAAGGCTCCCAAGTAGCTGAGGAAAGCAGCTCCAAGCAGGCAATCACCAAGGAGACGAATACGYTGYTGYTTCAGTTCTTCCAGATCACTGGTCCATCTGTAGTAACACATTGTTGATTAATACACTGCTCACSATAGCGTGATKCACTATTCAMTATCTATGACATRGTCATTGAGTGTTCAYTTCTAAACAAAATGTGATTTTAGCATGGGGTGCATGTAGAGAAAATCGCCGTGGCCTTAATTAGGGTCTATGCAAATACTTTCGAAATATTACGAACTTTCAAAGACATATCGGCATGTACTATTTTCGAAACTTAAATACGTACACTAACATATTGACTGAGCATCATCTACAAGGTGATTCAATCGTACCTGACTTTTTCTGATCCTAAACCAGAGATAAGTTTATCAGCAGCTATGAGTCTTCGTTCCATTATTTCTGCTTCTTCTTGTAGACTTGCCTTCTCTCGCATGGCGCCGTCGTACTTTTCTCCCAATCGATGTAGTTCATCTTCTAAYGCTTTCAGCTCTTTCTCGATCTTTTCTAGCTCTCGTTTACTCAAATGGAAATTACGTTCCAACCTTGCTACCTGTGTTATGAGAAAGAATATTTGTATAAGAGTAAATGTGTGTACGCGAATATTAGCATAAAATAGTAGGAACATGGATAAATGTCAYATTCCTGATTAATATACTGTTATTTTTAAAATACCTTTTCTCTCTTGGGTTTGATTTCTCTGGCAACACTACAGTAACCCAGTACGGCTATAACAAACTTGAGAAGACCCGTGCCAGCTTTACTAATTTCCTTCATTTCTTCGACAGACGTGTTGAGTTCTTTTAGATAATCACGACATCGTTTAACCTAAAATCAGAATCAACAGCATTTTCACTATCAGAATTGTCATCACTAGTCCATCACTAATCACATAAATCATCGACAATCATCATCGCTTTAGTTCTATAAATCATCGTTATCATGATTTGCTATCATCAGAATCAACAGCATTTTCGCTATCAGAATTGTCATCACTAGTCCATCACTGATCACACAAATCATCGACAATCATCATCGCTTTAGTTCTATAAATCATCGTTATCATGATTNACACTTTTTTTCGTTCATGTCATGGTGTATAACCCATCATTCCCTAAATCGTACATCACACACCTATAAAAAGACTGAAAACTCACTGTGGTCTACACTTTTTTTCGTTCATGTCATGGTGTATAACTCATCATTTCCTCCCAACTGATTTCAACTACTGTCAAAGTGTTATCGTAATACCTTGGCGTGTAGAAAGCCTTCAGAAAACAACATAATCTCACAAATTTGCTGCAGGTCTGGTACGATACACATCACAGGTCTAAACAAAGCCTTGACGCTCTCAGGCAACTCAGTACGCCCGGCATATCCAGGGTTCATGGTGATAAAGATACCCATACGACTATCCAATGCAATCTCAGTACCTTCAAACTAGACAAGAAAAGAGATCAGTAAAAATGGACAACATTGCGTGGTACATTACGCTGTGAACTTGGTAGAGATAACTGCATATACCTAATACATACAACCGACTGTGAAATTCATTTAAAATGCCTTCCATTCAACTGAAAAATGAATGTCTATAACGGTGGAAACTAGCGGTAAACTAGTACGAACTGAATACCAGCAACATTGGGTTATTACCTGCAATCGTTTAAGGTTATTGATAAGTGCAGTTTGGAGAGTCTTGATTTGAGTAGACACCACGGACAATACAGACACATCAATACGATTAAACTCATCGAAACATCCCCACGCACCGCACTGYGCAAGACCGGAGAAGATCTTACCAATTGACTGAAATACAAACAYTGACAATGTGAAATCAAACATTCCTTCTTATTCTAGAATGATATATTACAAAGTGAAGTAACATTAACTGTTATAAATCATACGTYGATGGTCATGATTGGTCAAAAATGATAGTACTATAAAAAAGGTGATATGAAGAAAATCATGGTTCGAATGACTAACCTTGTAGTCCATGCCCTCTCCACAGTTTGTCACAACACAAAGAAGACCCAAAGCCTTTGCTAAATCCTTAGTTGTCTCTGTCTTGCCTGTACCTGCCGGACCGGCTGGAGCACCACCCAAGTACATAGACAATGCCTAACACACATAGAAACCAAGCTTAATCTTATACTACAGACTGGTATAAAGTTAGAGAAATAACAAAACAAATAAATACTAAAAGAAGATAGACGACGAAGATTGAAAAGAATTAGATTAAAAGAAAAAGGGAGAAAAGTGAAGAAATGGGATATAAAGAAGGGAAGAACAGAAATGAATGGAATTAATATGAAATAAATGAATAAGGAAGTTGATAGTTCTTTTGTAATATTTAGTAATATTGCATACCTGAGTAATGGTCAAATAGATTCTATCAGTCAGGGGGGTGATGACAAGCCTGCCATTTAAGCCCATATATTCGTATCCATACCCAAACTCTCCAGTGCACTGACGAATCATCAACTCATCGGGTCCTGGCTCCCAATAGAAACGTAGCTGGCTTTCCCATTCAAATTCCCGAGAATCTAGAATACTGTAAAAACACAAATCATTACACATCAAAATCGACATTGATAGTTATTAGAATATACAAATCATTGTCATCAAAATAGGCATTTAATAGTTACATAAGCTGTGTGACAGAAAACGACTTGAGTTTATTGCAAAGTTTTATTCTCTTGATCAAAGATACCACAATTTATACGAAATAAAACTCGTGATATTGTCGCTTCCCATTCCCTTTTCCTCCTGAACACTAGCTATCTTACARCAATAGATAACTACAGTATCTCKAATAACATGCAGTGGTTTGGAAAGAGACCAGTTCCCTCACCTGTCACGTACGAACCCGTCCACTATGTCTCGTGCATGTACTTCTATAATCAATACCGTATTAAACTTCTTWCGGTCATTTTTACTGAGGTTTGAACGCACTTTGACCACAAGATCGTCAATCTGAGTGTGACACTTCTTAGCGTAATTCTTCATAGCCATTTTGTCGCCTTTCTTGACTTTACGAAACACGTCCTCTACTTCCCACGTCCACCAGACTTGGTTACCAGCCAGGGCAACCATACCTTGGTATCCCACCATCCAATCGGTCCTATATTTGAAATCATCATCTATCACTACATAAAATGTCGGCAGTGAAGAATACTACGTGCACTTCATGCAAATACATAGGATTTCATKTTATACCTGGTTATTTCATTGCAATAGTTAAAAATGGCTTCCTTGGTAATCAATCTATTCGTCCGTCTCATTTCATTCAGCACATTTGTCATCCAGTCCTCAACTCGGCCTTCAGCGGGAACACCTTTCCTAAATTCCATGATCTCTTTCTCACTAGATATCATGGCTGTAGCTACTGTTTCTTTGTTGTTACCTTCTTGGAAGCGCAAACTAGCAATGTTATCAAACATCTGAAATAATAGTCAAATATTAGAAACGCCTTAGACAATTAGCTAGCATGAAGAAATAATAAATACACAGAAACGAGCATGAATTAAATTACGAGTCTTGATAACTATGCTATTATAGGGTCACTGAGCTCATCCCACATGGCCTAGCGATTCGTTAGTTTACCTATCACGCATGCTCTTATAGGATCACTGAGCTTATCCCACACGGCCTAGCGACTCACCACATGGCCTAGCGATTCGTTAGTTTACCTATCACGCATGCTCTTATAGGATCACTGAGCTTATCCCACACGGCCTAGCGACTCACYGAGCCCATCCAAATGGCATAGCGAGTCATTAGTTTACCTATTACGCATGCTCTTATAGGATCACTGAGCCTATACTACATGGCCTAGAGCCTGTTCTGAAACAGACCCATAGTTTTACTGAGATAAAGTGACAAATACAACGAAAAGRTGCTTGTATGGTACCTTGATCATGTGTTCCTGTACACATGTCGGATCATGACTACCAAGAATTGATAGCAACTCATCATCAGAGATGAAGAAGAACCGAGGAAAAGCGTTTCGTTTGGAGTCCAGGTAATCATTAAGACTCTTTTGACATTTCTCGAGACCATTGACGATAAATTGGAGCTGGTCCAGACGATTTGCTGCATGGCAGGCCTCGAGAACTTTGGGGTTCTTTGCTGTATCAGCCATTATCTTCAATAAAACAAAATTGAAATCCTTATATTTATAGTATCAGGCCCGGATGGGGAATAAAAACAAACTGATTAAGATTGTGTTTCATGATAGTAATGCAATTGTACATTGGTCGTTAAGATTATAGGTCAGTAGAAGTATAGATCTATCTATGTATGGAAGTACATTGGTC